AGGTGGCATTACACCGCGTGAAATTTCAGGATGTACTCGTGTTTAAGGCGATCGATGTCTTGCAACGACCATGTCGCCTTGCAGTTAAGAACTATAAGAGAGCCGGTGCAGCTTTCCTAAGCAGTTTCGACAGTGCCAGAAAGCCTAGGTGACAATTTTTTGTGGATCCAATCATCATATTTGGTGCTTGCATTCGAGCCTCGAAAGTGCAACAAATTTATATTGATAAAATGCCAAAAGTCCGTGCTAGAGCAACAAGCAAGTCCGGCTGTTTTGCTGAAGAGTTTGCGCATTAGAGATTGCAACAGGAACAGATAACCAAGGTCTGATAAGCGGAAGCGACGCAGTGGATGTAGTATGATAGTAGTTAATTGGTAAATTGACATTATTAGCTTAAACATACAACCATGTGATTGTTAATTGGAATAAGAACCTAATCCAGAGATAATATTGAAATATGGGTGGCGCAGGTTACTGATGGCATCGTGCTATGCCAGACGTGGAATAAACTTATCACGCAGACAAACCAGAGTATGGCTTACTGGGTCATCGAGACGCATAAACAGTCATACTTCGGTAAGATCGTTTGTGAACCACTGAATCACTTGCTGATTTCATTAGGTTATAAACTTCGTGCGGCCTACCGGTTCTCGAATAGCTCATCCAATTTGAGAAGACTCAAAACATTTTGTGCTGACAGTGGGCCACACTGGAAGGCCACGACAATTTTCTTCATGGAGAGCGGTTTCAGTTTGTCTTTTTGTAATTGTTGACCGGTGACATTTGCGGCATATGACGCGCTCGGTAGTTTCCAGTTTGAACCGTACTGCGGTAGCAAAAAATAACCGCAAGGAGTGGAACACCAACGTCTAAGGAAACAAACAAACTGCTTATATTCATCCACACCAATACCCTCACGTTACAACGTCATTTCTGCGGTGAGTTCATGCGAAACAACATTACATGAGGACATTCAAGCAGGCTCACAATGGCCTTTCGTGTGACGCGATTTTTTCATTGCAGTCCTTGAAAATTGGGGAGGGACGGATATGGAAGACA